ACGTATGCCCTCCTTTTCAAGTGCGCTTTCGATAAGGACCGCTGTACACCCCACGTCACGCACATCCTGTTCACATTCTAGGCATGGCATGCAATCGTCCACCCTGGGCTCCTACACCCTTGCGTCTAGGGAAGGGTGTCCATACCCAGTTGCAGCATGCCATTTCCTTGGATGCCTAGCAGGCCGAATCTGTAAAGCCCCAAAGAGGTAACGCTCGCACCACTACACCCCGGTCCTTATCAGATTTAATTTTGAATGAATCACGATCATGTCAATCATGAAAACTCATCTCGTTATGCTTAGTATTGGAGAGTACAATAGGAGCGCCCTCCCCCCCCCCTTAATTGGGGTTCACCAGGTGGAGTAATCCAGTCAGCTTTGGCAACAGCCACGCATGAACTTGAAGGAAAGCCGCGAAAAAAGTGACTCTTTTGCACAGTCGAGGAGTACTATCGTATGCTTCGTATGACCATATGCTAAAATTTCAAAATCAGCTACGCTTATGTGCGTCTGACTTTGAAACAAGAGCTTTCGTGTGTTAATTCAAATAGAATCAACCGAACCTGCTATTTTGATGTTACTTTCCAACGGGGTTCAACAAAATATTTTTAGCACATTGGTATGCGCATACTTTACAGTGCTAGTACGAATAACAACAGACTACCGAAGTGTAAACAGATATTTGAGACAAGGATTTATGAGACACATATTTGGGCATTTTTTCTGAAGTTCTCATTTGGAACTGACTGTCCAAGATGATTGTGAATTGTAACATCTATCTATGACTTCCGCACTTTTCAGAATAACTACGTACTGCGACGCCACAAAGTATTAGGTCGTGAAGAAAGTCCTTGCGCTTTTCGGCGTTCCTTTTTGGAGCGCTTCATTTTGTTTGACTTCATTGCAAGACTGTCCACCCTGCTAGAATAAGCGATTTTGAAGAGGCGTTTCCTGTTTAATCTAACAGAAGGGCCAGCGTTGTCTTGCGTGATTTGTTATTCTTGTTAATGGCTTAAATAGGGTTTAAGCTGGGAGCAACTTTGCATGATATTCTTTTTCTTGCTCAAAACAGACCTGTAAGGAGCGGAAGCAGGCCAAGATATCATAAATGCCCTTGAATGAAATCAGCAGTAATTAACCCTTTGACGACCGTGTGACCCCGCCGGTGGGCCACACTTCCACTAGGAAGCGCCTCAATTTGGGTGGTTTACTTCGCATTTTTTAAGTTTGAAACTGCCATGAATAAATTATGCGTGAACCGCGCAAAACAAGAGAATAAAAATTCAAAGAAGGAGGTACATTGCAAAACGGCGGTCGTCAAGAGGGTTAAATGATCCGAGGCAATGTTTGAAGAGTTTTTGTAAGGAAAGGCAAAGAGCTTCAAAAAATGCAGAGCGGTGTGCTTTTGGATATTTGGACAATGTCAACGAATCAGCCGGAAAGTTCTGGTTGAAGAGCGCTTGTACAGAACTATTTAGAAGGCTCCCCCTTGACTGATCGCACTTGCCTTGTGGTTTCTTGTTGTAAGGGAAGAGCTGAAATGCCAAAAATAAAAATAGCTGTGCCGACATGTTACTGGTCTTCTTCCGCAACTTCCTAGCTGTTTCCTTACTGCACGCTCTTTCTCTTGCTCTCTCTGACTCGAAGTTATTACGGAGTAGATAGAGAACAGATTCATTGTTTTACAGATTACGAAACTTTGATGAATGGATCGACCGCGATCACGCTCTACAGACTTTGCAAATCTGAAACTACCTTGCAGTAATGTTAAGGTGACTTTCATAAAGTCAGCGGCTGGCCTCGCCGCCTGTAATTTGCCACTTTCTCTTCTTTCCACCTGGATAACTTCTTCAAAGAGTTTTGCTTAAAAACACAAAATGATGCTGAAACGACCTCGGTCGGGTCCGTCGTCTCTTGAGATTCAGTATTCTGCACGGCCGGGAAAATTCATCCCGTTTCTTATTGGCAGAGGCTTGTGGTTTTTAGTTTTTTCTTACAATCAAGTAAAATGTTTGCCAAACGGCTGCGATACCTGCGTTTTGAAATTCGATGGTCGAGGAGCGCAAGAACTTCACGACATAATACTTTGCGTCGGTCACTCTTATAGATTCCGTCTTGAAGGCAAAGTACGGGCTTAGTAGCTTAGTAGCCTTTTACCATGGCTAGAAACGCTGGGTACGCAAGTGCAAAAGTAGCACCACTTCTTTGATCGAAACTCGTCACTAGGACCCTAGGCGCCATGGACTTCTAACAGACTCCACCAAACTTAACATGGTCCGCCCACCGTCATTCGATATCTTGTCTGCGTCGCCACGTTGATGTGCTATGCTCTCTCTTCTCGGACTTCTCTACCACTCTCCCGCGCTCACATTATCTCTCATCTCCCTGCCTGTCTTTTGAACATCTCCACAGCATGGAGCAAAATGCTCATATTTCCTGTGTATTTCAGATTTTTTTTCCTCTTCGCTGGCAGTCCCATCTCACACCCCTACTTTTCACATTTGAGTGCAATCATCCCATTATTTAGCCCTGATTTTTGCCTTTTAGCGATTAATTTTGCTCGTTCATTTGCAAGGATCGTCTCTCTGTTGGATCTGCGCCACTAGATTTTCGAATTATAGCGGAATCCAGCCAACAAGTGATGAAGGAGGAGTGCGCAGCAGTGACAAATCGAGCAGCCATTACGCGCAGTAGTCAGGATCGCATCCCGACACTAACTTCGGCCAGCTATCCAACATTTGAGCCACAAGGACTTTCTAGGAAATCAATTCCGTTTATGAGTGCATCACCCGCTTCTGTATTCCATTTGTTCAACCAATATACCATGCTTCCGAACATGTTACGCATATTGCTATATCAACGGGATTTTTCAAAATACGAACAAATTTCCGAAACCTACTTGATGCAGCAGCGTTAAGCAAAAAATACGGTAACAGGATGGTGCCGCTCGCAATTTTCAACAATGAGCACCAGGTAATTTTGCTGTATACTCCACATACCTATTTCGGTAGCACAGTGTTTGGTCTTTGATTTCGTCACATGAAATATTCCCAGTTGGATTGGGTAATCCTTCATCACCTCGAGAAACAATCATTCCTTTGCTACGACGAGCTATTTATTGTGTTATCAAGGTCTTCACGAAACTCTTGGTGACAAACATTACGTAGTTTAAGAGGCCATTCGCTAGCATCAATAGACCTAAGCGCGAAAGGAATGTGTTCGGGATTTGACGATTTGATCAAACCTTTCAGACCTGAGTACTCCTCCGTGGGGAAATTTCTCATCTTGCTATTGTTTATCGCTTGTGAGCACATAAATATCATAATGGCGAAATTCGGATGCTGTTTGATCGCAAATTACGAAAAGGAAGCTTTGAAAATTGGCACAGCTTCTTATTTTTTTAGCTCTTGTCGAAGCTATTCCTTTCTTCCTATTCTCTTCACTTGTGATCGAATAGCCTCCAAATTCCACTATAATGATATTTATGTGCTCACAAGTAATAAGCAATAGGTTGTTATGGCCGCACCATGGACAAAGAAAAGAGAATACACATGTCAAGAAGAGGTATGGAGGATATCTTTAGCAATTTCTACACGGACCTCTTCCGTTCAACCACAGTTGTCCTGCCAAGCCCCATACCGCCTGCTAAAAACCCTTCCACTATTCTAGAGTCATAAGTTGCGAACGCGACGAAGCATGAGAAAAGGAACTGCCCAACAGCCTGACAACATCCCCGCGGATTTGCTACCGTGCTGGGAATACAGCTTATCAAGAACCGTTCTACTGTGAAGAAAGGCGAGCGAGAAGATATCGTTAACTACACAATCAGCGTTCTTTCGGTAGTATACAATTCGTTCAAAAAAATGCTGCTTAATTGCATGGAACGCATCTTCGACGAATACCACCCTAGAGAGCAGACAGGGTTAAGAAAGTACTTCGCATGCATGGATAACGTACAAGCGGTCACTCAGCTTATTGAGAGGAGCCACGAATATCACCTTCCATTGGTCCTTGTCTTCGTTGACTATAAAAAGCATTCGATTCTGTGGAGGTCAACGCTGTTCTGAATGCCCTCATACAAGCCGGAGCTCCCCCTGCCTACATCCAACTGCTCGAACAATGCTTCTCAAATACAACAACAAATATTTAGCTGTTGAACAGAGATGAAGATCCCTATTCAGAAAGGTGTACGGCAAGGAGATACGGTATAACCAAAGTTATTCTATCTAAGTTGTCAAGGCTGCATTAGTATGCGATGTCAAACCCTAATTGGGAAGACAAAGGATACCTCATTGATGAAAAAAAAGAATAACCGCTTTTGCTGAATCGTACTGATATCTCTACAACACAAGGAATTGGAAAAAAAATTGTCAACGAACTCAATATGGAAGGCTCGAAAATCGGCTCGGGAATGAACATGTCAAAAACATGAACGATGATGAATCAGTGGTGTGATACAGGTACAATAAAAACTGGAGGGAAAAGCTCTAGAGAGAGTAAATCCTATTACCTGGCAAGAGAACATGTTTCCAAGTTTCCAACATTTGACGCGCCCTTTCTTTTAAAAAATCTATTTTTCTGTTGCGATTTCCAATTTTGAAGAATTATAGTGCTCATCGTATCATTGGATATGAACACACTAAGTGAGTTCATGACGATTTCATTGTCTAGTGATTACTCTAGGTCGAAAATAAAGCAGTGGTCCCGTTTTGAGTTCTCTGGACGGGTTTCCCTGTTTTTCTCGCCATTGGCGTACCATTGAGCACCCCTTCACATTCCCTTAAACTTGTAAACCCCTCTAAAACCTATAGCAATCGTTGCCTTCAAAAAGTTGTGCATGCTTGAAAATTTGTTGAAAAACTCTCACCCAAACTTATTAAGATGGATCGCGCTTGACCGCTGGTTCTTTAATACCACTGTCGGAAGTGTTTACAAATCTTGAAAATTCAAACCGTAATGTTCATTTTAAAAGTATTTTATAAAGATCATGAACAGGCAGTTTATGCTATGATTTCTGGTTTTCCAGTGAACGCCGCTGCACTTGCAAGTCCCAGACTGCCAACGGTGATTTGTTGGGACATTCCTGGCTTGGCCACAGCATCCATACCAGACCTTGCAATCGACGAATTGTAGACATTTCTGGAATCAATCATATTACTCAACTCCTACGTACGAACCTCGCTTCACACTTTGATGGTAGTGATGGAAAAAGAAAATCTACCGTACCTGTTCACAGTCACTCCACAAACCGATTCCATTTGAGCGAACTGTTTCACTGACGGCGCCGTCCATTTAGCGAATGAGCGGAAGTCAGTGAAGTTGGCTGGGGTCTCGTTCAACGGGCCACCACCATACACATTCCAGTACCTAGGCACTCAAAATAGAAATGTGGCCATGGCTGAGGCAGAGACATTTTTGACGAATGAAATGTTATAATCACCGAATGGTCACTCATAGAGTAGATGGAAGGTGCTCTAGTCACTCACTCACACGTTCTTTCAGTCTAAACTTTCTAGGCACTCACCATAGCGCAAGGTTGTTGATCAAAGCATTACCCGTGATCTGGCTCCAATCGTACGAACTCGTGTAGATTCCGACAGCGACACCATATTGCTGGAATGAAGCTAATTTTACAGGCGCATAGCCCCTCTACTGCAGCCTTCTTTTTACCACTTACATTGGCTCTTGACAAGATGGCGTTCAGGAAGTTAACATTGGCTGTGTAACTCGCGAGCCAGCTGACTGGTGACACTACCTGGAACGATGTGACTGAGCTTCCATCCTGGTATTGTTTCAGAAGAATCTGTGTGGGAATTTCTCTTCAATGGTAAGGGAACAGGGACTTTATTCAAGATATTACAGGAATAGTCCCCGGAAAACTCTTGCATTCTTTTCCCTCACGACTATGTCAGTTGTGATCACTAGAGACAACGTACAAAGTTTCACGCAAGAAGATTCAGTTTCCGAAGAGAAACAAACGTGAACCAGGCTCTATGGACGGTCGAGGGTAGGTCGGGCGGAAACCTATGCGACGCATGGAGAGAAGTGCGCCTTGAGGCGGCCACGTGTAAGGCGACGCTTTGGGATCGGGTCAAAGCGTTCAAATCCGAAGAATAGACAAAACAGTCGATGAATAAGGAAGCATCAAGTGTAAAACGTTTTGCTAAAGGTGGGGCTGATGCCAATATTTGCTGACAGATGTACGGCGGCAATTCAAAGCGTGACAATTGGAATTTCTCCGAATTGTACAAAGCAAACAACTTTTCTGTTCTTTTCGTTCTTATCGTGAACAAATGGTGCCAAGCCAGTGATATAGATGAGATAGAATGTGATTTTTCCTGGTAGACAATTCCCTTTATATTTTTTACTTTTTTTGTTCTCAAATGTTTGAAAACTGTCTTGAAGCATCCCACTGAGTATTTTAGCGAACACTGGTGAATTTCTGAACCTTCCAAAAGTTTCTCAATGTGGATAAAACCGCCATCTACTTGCCATTTGAAGAAATAAAGGCTAAAAGGATAAAGCATTTGCCGTTGATCAATCCCTTTTGGGATGCGGCACGCATTCTACTTCCATTTGTACATTCGTAGTGGCGTTTGAATGCGATGTGGCCTATACAATGACTTGCGGGGGCCAGCCGATGTACAAGTCAGTGTTTTTATCCTCCCAGACAAGTCTGGTACCAATTAACCGACCCCGGAGGGATGGAAAGGCTTGGTTGGCCCGGGCGACTCACGACCCAGGATTTGATCCCCGGACCGCTCGCGTGGTAAGCGTGCCACTTTCCATTACCTACTTCCGCCATGTTGAAGACATAGAGTAGTGTTAATAGTCATGATATTGTTTTTTGGTGAATCTGCCCACATTCAAGACTTAAACTCACCAGCTACTCGTGAAGTTCGAAATTTTGTTCTGGGTCTGCGTCATTGAGCCCATCCTGTACTTTCCCCTTCACGGGATGCCACTACGAGGATTCCTTTCATATTTATTAATGACACATCTATCCCATCTTTCCATCTCATACCTTTGATAACTAACAGAGCTGCGAGTTCCATCTGGGGCGGAAGTTTTGTTCACAAACAGGCATTCTTGTGAAGCATTCTCGGAGTCATCCTCGAACACCTGGCTGGTCCACACTACCTTCTACGGGACGAAACCTTGTGAGAGAACCCGGGCCTTGAAAAATTATCCGTTCAGATAGGGAGTTTCAAAAAGTTGGATTGTGGAATTGCTTAAGAAATCATTAATTTGAATATTGTTACGGATTTTTCTCTGAATCAACATCTTCTTTGCTTTGAGAGGTTCGACGTGCACGTGTCAATTCCCTTCAGAACCGGTCGAAGGATAGGTCACATGTAATTGATATTTAAATAAAAAACAGTTTTTACATCCTTATGCTTTCCAGAAGAGATTCTCCGCGCTACAGAACAACTATGCCCCGCTTCTACTCTGCAGAGGTTTCGAATTTCAAGCCATCAAGCCAACAAAACGGATGGTCCACTCGAGGAAAATGAGGCAGACCGACAATTACTAGCGCCAATTCTATCTTTCCCTCAGAGACTCTATGGTACCTTCTACTCATTCACAACGTCTCCTAAACATTCTGCCGTAAGGTTCCAACTAGTCGCGTCGATTCTTTTTTAAATTTAGTTTTTTTTACGCAAAAACTCGATGGTTCAGCACTATGGCGGTTGCGAATCGGTGGGAGCAGGAGACGTGACCTGCGAGACGTGAGGGGTGAACCTGGGCAGTACGGAAAGCACGAAGTACATTACAATCATGCCGACCCGCTGTCGACGACTAAGAAAAAAGTACTAGACCAACTAAAATACCCTCAGAGAAACTTACAACAAAAGATACAATATACCACATTTGGGACTAACCCTATTGCTACTGCAAACTATTGCGAACACAAACAGTAATAACTTTTATGTTGTAACTAAATTTTTCCTTAATGGACTACTACCAATCAAATAAAATGTTATTAAGGCATAATAAATCTGACTCACGTCGGATCGCCTTCCTCGACCCGCCGGTTGACCACAGAATAAAGTTGCACTAGGAATAACTTCATAGAATAAGTTCTAAGGGCTAACGCCCTGCGCGTCTGCCGGACGACGACGTCAGGGGAAGAACCGTAACGTCGATTAGGGAACACCGGGCCAGGCCGTGATGGTGCTGTTGCAAACAGCCCGTGCGTTGCCGCACGATCACGGAAGATCAGCCTTGGTTATGTCGGCAGTAGTTCGCAGACGACGGCGCACCCAGGGTTCTGTTGGAGCACTCAACGCGTCACACGGCAAAGGCTTCAGATCTGGACCCCAGAACTTTTTACAGACTCCCATAGATAACTAGGGAGATTTTACAAACAATTCACGACTAGGGTTGAAATGTATGACTTATCAATTTCTTCACATTCTGAGGGATTTTTCTTTTCAGAAGCAATGTGGTCATTCTCATGGACTGGTCTTATAACGCAAACCTAAAATTCTACCTAAAGAGGTTGTTCGAAAAGTAATGCGGGTCTCGCGATGCCACGCATACTTGTGATATTTTAACCCTTTGGCGACAATGGCACCCACCGGTGGGTGCCACTATGACCGTCGCGTGGGACAATGGCACCCAATGGTGGGTGCCACCCTAAAATTTTCTTCTTTACCCATTTAAAACATTTTCAACATATCAGTAATTATAAGCAAGCTCCGTTACGCCTATGTTTAGCATATTTTGCAGAAATGTTTGTTACTAGCTAATTTATATGAAATTTTAGGATATGGCACTTCGCTCGGCGATGTATTAACTAGTGTTTTACATTATTAAGCTTAAGGTGAATTACAGATCAGGACCCCTATGTCTTTTCACAGTCTTAGATTTCTTTCCAAACTTCCACTTCTAATTCCAACAATACATGATCATAAAGCTTAAGACTGCAGTCATATTTTGTTTATTGTCATAGTCAAAATTTTGATAGAAAAACTGCTTTTAGGGACAATTTTGCCCCATTTTGTGCGAGAGTTGGGCGCGCCAAAAAGAGGCGTGGTCCCACGAGCACGCTACGTGCAAATCCGCATTGTCGTCAAAGGGTTAACACAGAAATTTCTTTTCAAACTTGAAGCGCTATGAAAGGCTCCCTAGATCATTGGCAAGCCTACTATTTCATTTTCGCTTGAGCATTTTTTAATTTTAATATGGCTTGTTATCCTGGGGTTTTTTTATAGGTTTGAAGTGACCGTGTCAAGACAGTAGTTCGTGTAAATTTATTCGATGTGCTGGAAACTCTGACGTAAAGCTCCCCAGATCCATCAAGATAACACTGAACTATGGGGCCATGGAAGCACCAATCAAAGCGTAGCACATCACTGCTTCCAACATTTTGGTCTCAATGAATTCCATTGTGAAGGTGAGGGTGTCATGAGCATGATTCTGTTATTATGACGGCCTTCACAAGGTTCACGTAGAAGATGATTCCAGACCAAATGTGCCGCAGTAGCACTAGAATACAGCATACTAAAAGTGTTGCAGCTCCTTATGATAATTGAAGAGGTGGAAAAGCTGAACAGGTGATTATCGCATACTGACTGAACAGCAGCAAATCAGTCTCTAAGGTGTCGTTCCCAGAAAGTTTACAAACGCTACCGGCGAAATGCACTCCATCTACGACGAAAAATGGACCCCTCACGGCTAGAAGTATGTAGCTACCTCTTCAATAGTTAGACAGCGATGAATCTTCGAAAATTTCCCCATAGCGAGGATTGTAGAGAATGGATGCACCGCAGCTCTCGGAGAAGATCCACCGCAGCTATCGGAAACCAAATGAATTTAGAACACCACCAATGTCTGTATACCGAAGAGATGTCCTAAAAACACCAAGTTCGGCAACCGAGAGAGAAGTGAAACAACTCTCCTTCATGCTGACGCTCAACTGCACGTCCCAGCGACCTCTCAAGTATTTAGAAATCTGGCGTTCGTCTTATTGCGTCGTACCCTCTGGACCTCCTCCCCATCAACACCACCTTTCCCAACCATATTGTATAAGAAATGCTTCGAAGTTTAAATTGATGTAGTATGACGGCCTCTGAAAAGCCTATTTTTATGTGGACGGGACATGAAGCGGATGGGCATCTTGTTGAGAAAAATCGGTGCTCCCATAGTTTTCGTACGACTGAAATTGTTGATTTCTAGTTGAGTATGCCTTTTTGTGAATGAACGCCGAAAAACCCATCTTTTTCCGAACAACCTAACGTAATGAGATCTAACATAAAATAGAATATGTGATCGAATAGAGCAGAAGAGAGGCTCACGAACAATTTACCACCCTATATAAAACAAAGAAGTTCTGAAGAGAGTTTTGATTCAAAATTCGCCGCGGCTTAGCGGTCAACCAGAGAAACCCAGTTCGAAACCTATTATCGGAATGTTTCGGTCGAGGGAGGTCGTGACAAATAAGTAGGGAGATCGTCATTGCTCGATTCCTACTAGGTTGAGATAGAGTTGGAACTAGCTGTGGGTTTGGCTATTCGTCATCTGAACCTCCTTTTCCCCACCCTAAATTTCGAAGTGATCGGAATGAATATGGACGGAAAACATCAGCTTCTGCAATTCTCTTTACCAGATTGGTCCCCGTCAACCGCCGGGACCTTCCTTCCCTGCGTAAGCTTTACGTCTTCCGCTATGGTCCCTTCCTCCTGTGACACCAACACCTCGTGGAGGTGACGCGTATGCAACAAAAGGAGTTTCATGTAGTAGAAAGCATCGCCATAATCATGGCATGACGGTTGATTTTCCACCTCCCCTCCCCATCCTCCCTTCCTCCTCTCCACTGCCCTCCAGCTCAGGTGCCTTTGCAGCACCATGTAGAATTGACCGGAAGTGTGCTCAGTAGGTGTTTATATAGCGTTATCACAATGATCCTGCTCTACAAAAACATTTGATACAAACATTGAGTTAGCTGCGAAGTAGCTGCGAGCTAGCTCAGACTTGTCAGCGGCTGTGTAGTTGACCTGTTAGGCATGTACAGACAGTCATACATACATACAATGAATACATACAGACACTACAAACCGAACACAATTGGCAGTGTATCTGAAAGTAGAAGGAGTATGCTCATCGCAATCATGTCACTTGCTCAGACATTGGTAGCGCAAATTTTGGGAGCTCCTAAGTTTCGTCAGCAGTTTGTTTGCACCATATTCCTTAGCCTAGTTTGCGGACGGGCAAACAGATACACATGCAAGCATACATACATACACACGTACATATAAACCGCCACCTTATTGGACCTTCGACGCTTTTGAACCTTTCTATGTCAACACTTGACTTCACCGCCACTCCAGCTTGTGTTGTGTCACATACTTACTCGTTTCACTGACCCTAGGTCGAGCAGTTTGTTATTTTTTCTACACTCTGAAACTTCTTTTACAGCTCTCAAGAAAGAATGGTAGGTCGTAGCAAATCAAATTTGTGTTTTTCGGTGGCTGGGTTGCAGTGGCTTATTCCAGAGAGATCCTTTAGACGAAACTCTGCAGGATAATTTGAGTAATAAAGCGGCGCTGGTCCAATGCTTATAAAGTTACATAAAGTAAGGGGTTTGAACCGCTCGAGATTGGTTCCTCTTGTCAGAAATGGTCGCTCTTCGCCCTTTACGCTGTAATCCAATGACGTTCCGTAGAAACAAGATGTCCGCAGTTCTCAAATTGTTGTACGATTTCGTTCGAATGGTGTAGCCGGGCTTAGTTTTCATTCTTGTGGTCTGCCATCGTTAGTCGTTATCGCTCTTCTGTTGCTGGCGACTCTCGTAGTGGGGATCATGCTATACATCCTCTGCTACGCGTTCTGACGTACCGGCAGTCCTCGGCCTTTTGAGCCTTACGACTCCGGAAAAAAATATTTTTCGCTATAAAGGTCCTTCTTTGAGATGGATTCTACAGCAATTAGCCTTCCTCGATGCTAACAGCGACGCATCGCGGTGCACTTTACAATCTCGCAGGGCTTTCTCGCTCCCGTTAACTTGTGTCTCACGTCTGTCGATTCATGACTCGTCTCATCTCGCAGTGTTGTACTTGCTCTGGGCGATCATCTCACCCTAGTCTGGTTTGTTCGTTCTCTGTTCACTCCCCACTCATCCCTATAGGTGTCCACATATACGGCAGATAAAGGCGAAGCACCTCTTCCCTCCTCGCCATCACACTTTTTACGATAATACTCATACCGCAATAGCTTCTTTTCCTACAGATACCCGCTCTATAGTTCTAGCTTCAGATATCTTCTCCAGCAAATATCCATACGACAACCTCGGACAGCCTTATCTGTGTTCTCACGAACATACAATACAGGGGTGGCCAAAAAAAGACACTTCACTCAACATTCAAAACGGAATTATTTACGCGTCGCGAAACCAAACCAAATGACCCCAACTGAATATTGAAGAGCACGTTATAATCTATCAACAAGCTACACAACAGCCTTCTACACCGACGACATCAGAAGATTTTCCCACGGAAGCATTGTGCGCGGTACGATCTCAACGAGGTCGTTGAGATACCATAGACGATTACGACGTCTCTGAAACGCAGGTCAAAAGCGGTTTTGCACATTCACAGCTAATGTCTCTGGAAGCTATTCAACAATTAATTCACTGAGGAAATTGTGTAGCAGCTTCAGGTCGGAGCGATTTCGGTAAGCCTCGTTGAGCTCGACGGTGACGGCAGATGACGTCATATTCTGGAGACGGCAGGGGCAGTGAAGGAGTGCTTGCTTCTGTTTACGGAGGAACAACTAAGGAATATAACGCCATAAAACTTTCATTAACATCGGCTCCCTGTGTGACGAAAAGTTCGATGATGTGCGCCATGGGCTGAGTGTCTCTTTTTTTTTGGCCACCCCTGTATAGATTCCGCGTTTTTAGGTTGATAGGGCACTTAATGGCTTGAAGCAACAGCCTCAGATCGAATAGATGGGATAAAAGCGGTCGACAATGAAATTGTGGACGCAGATATGACTGAAAATGAAAAAAATACAAAGAAATCGCTGACGGAGCCCTCAAGCAAGGATCCTCTTCATCCCCATTAAAAACAAGTAAAGGGTTTAGTAGTAGGACGAATTGTCCAAACTTGCCTGTTCCGCTCTCTATGTTTTCCTGCGGCGCTCCAACTACAACTATAACCTAACAAACAACTACAAATGCGCGGCTGCCAATCTCACATTTATAACAGCATAATGCATAACTGACACGGATCTCAAGCAATTTGACACCAAAAAAGCAGCATTCCTTCCAACGTAGCCCGATACGCCCCTATTTTGTGCGCAGTTGGTTATTACGGTCACGCAGCCAACACACGATCTCCATGGATGGCCAATGGGGGTTTCGACCAAAACGCGGACGAGCCAAAATTGGCAGGAGCCCAACTCTCAAAGCGGCTTTCCGAGACTACTTGCTGCTTCAGCAACTTCTTCAAAATCCCCACTTAGGGTCTGATGACAGTCTTTTCGCCAACTTTACTCTGTAGCAGGAAGTATTTTGTGGAACCACCTGGCAAGGCGGTTTTTTAGTATGGTAGGCGGCAGGGCATGCCATGACTGTTTTCGTGCTCGTTCGGGAGGTTATCAGAATTGGTCTCCCGTCAAACCGCCGGGCCGTCCTTTCCCTGCGCCCATAGGCTTTTAGTGCCTATCGCTGTGGTCCTTTCCTCAGTTTTAGAAAACCACCTGGAGGGACGCGTATGCTATAAAAAAGTTTTATGAATAGAGGGTATCGCCATATTAATGACATGACGGGTGAATGACGTATCAATACCTATGTGCACCTTAGGTCGGTTAGTGATCGGCCTCCAGCTGCAACTGCAGCACATGTGAATGACTGGAAGTGTGTGCTAATAAGGTATTTATTGGTAGATGTTTTCATAGCTATTCTATTACAAAACATAGATAGCTCAAGTCCTGCGAGCTAGCCAATTTTGTGAGCGGTTTGTTTATTCCTTAAAGCAACAATCCAGGAACGAATTCGCGGGTAAGGACCACCTATAATGACGTTGCAGGTGAGAAGTTGGTCAATGGAGAAAGAAAAAGTAGAAAAAAACGTCGGGCAGGGGCTTAGACAGGGACTCCCCCTGCCGTTTAGGGAGACGTGTGTTGGACGAGTTGTCCGAACCTGCCCGTAGTACATGCGCTCCAATTGCTCTGCTGCGGGACTTGCAAATACAATGCATGCCTTGAATAATCACATAAAACTATTTCGTCAGCAAGCCGACAATGGGAGCGTCAATTGCGTTCTTATGGAATCGCCTCAGAGCAGCGCGGCAGACCCTGGCGCTGCTTAGCTCCTGGATACTCCGTAATGTCGCTCTCATGATCTCGGCAGAGCCAATCTGTCGCTTTGCACAAGCTGCCGTGGAGGCCACTGCCCCACTGATGGATCCTGAGATCCCTCAACTTGGCATGCCGCCCTCTTAAGGGGATTTTCGACGTGAGATTCGCTTTCGAACGTCCTGTCCAGACGCACGGTTAGTTTTGAGTTCTGTCGACATTTCCCATGGACTCAATCAGGCTGAGGCAGTGGTCCACACTTGAAAACCAAATGGTTGAAACCCCTGCCTGGACTGTTGCTTTAAGCTGCCTTATCACTCACTTCATGGGGACACCGATTGCGAACAGTATGAACTGATAACAAATGACAAGGAATGATAAGAGCGTCTGAATGCAGGTCTCTCCAACTTCGTTGCAATTATCACTGGCAAGCGATCAAGGTGGCGAGGGTTGAATGTAGGTGACAGAAAGTGGTATGAGCGGCAACTGTACTGATAAAAGTAGCGACAGTTGAGCGTGCACTCAGTTGAACTAAACCAGGTCCCTAGCACGTGAATATGTTCCATTCCTACCCTTTCATCTAAAGAAGCAAAGAAAGTTGAGCTGCTCAACTATCTGGACTTGGACCAATAGCGAATTTCCATCATATTTCCAATTTCCATCATAGCTCGGTTAGATGCTGATTGATTGGTTATATTTCACTTACACACCGATTCTTCAATTGTGGAAATTCTATAAACCGCTAAATCATCCGAGCTCGATATCAATGCTAAATGTTTACGAAGTCATGATAAGTACCATTTTCATTCCGCATGCTACTGCGCGCATTACGCGACAATCTTCAGCAAATTGGACAGCCTTTGAAATTCATGTGACACATCTTCCAAAACATCTGTTAGTTTCTCAGCCACGTGACCTAATATTCTGCAAGTTGTCCAGTTTCACTAAAGCCTACCATGTGATGCGCGCGGTTGCGTGCGGAGCTAAACTGGTACATACATACCGACATACATACATGCATACATACATACCGACATACATACAAACCGACACACCAAGTAAGCGGTGTATAAAATAGAAGGTTAAATTGTAAGCAGATTCCGTGGATGACGAAAATTTTGCGAAAAAATGCTTCTTTATGTATGTGAGCAGACGGCGTGGGAAGGAGGCGATGCTCGTGCTATGAGACTATCGAAACTAAGGCAATCCTGGGAGAGTGTTGTCCTTTCAAATGTTTTGGATTCATAGTTTCGCAAATTAATTCACACAGAGTGAGGAAGAAAGATTCGCATTAGTGGCATGACTCAAACATTTCGCATCCTACGTAATTTTGTTCGAGGGTTTCATGGCCAACTATCACCTTTTCGGAGCTGAATTTAGTCAACATTTTCTTTGTGAAATCCTTGGCATGTACCTTTCTGTATGTGGATGATCTGTGACATAGTGCTGCCACAAGTGACTCTGCGCTTGCACGGTATTCGTTACGAAGCTGCTGCCGGAGACATTGCTCCGGCACGCCGCCGTAATCCATATGTTCTGGCCCCTCCTTGCTAATCTTTCAGACAGTTTCAACACTTACCAGCGTTGGCGTTCTGGATATTAGTGGTTGCGTACGGGTCGACGGATCCGGACGCTGCCGAGATGTAGCCTCTGCAACACACCTACTGTCATTAGGTTGATGTAAAAGTTCTTGATTGAAGACTCAAGTTAAAATCACACGATGTACAAAACAGATTTGCACAAAGGCAGTCACGAGTTTATTTTGAAACAGAAACGCCATCACTTATCTCACTAAAAGGTTTCTTCTCTGAGAGCTTCAGGAGACCAGAGTACTTATTATAAGGCTCACCTGATAAAGGCAACGTTGTACAGATTTTGTTGGAAACACGTGAATCCCAAAACGCTCACTGGAGTTGACAGATCAAGGGCGTACCCAAGAGTGGCCTGTAACGTTCATTGATTAACACATTGACGACCGCGCGCGTTTTGGCTTTTTTGGCCGTGTGGGACCGGGCCGATTTTGCGAGTGCGACCGCCGCACCTCGGATCCGTGAATTTTTATTGATAACTTTTTAAAGCACCAGTGGTACAAAAACATCTCAGTAACAGTCAATGCGTAGAAGGTAATAGAGTATATAGTGACGAAGTTCCGATTAAAGAACATGTAATGGTAATGAAAAAGGAAATTTAGTCATTTTATCTGTAGTGGATGCCAAAAGCTCTTTTGATGTGGTTATACCAAGTGAAACATGTATTTTTCTGTCTCTTTAGATTTGCATTTACTTTCACTACCCCTTTTTTATTGACGTGTTCATGAGAATAGCATGAAAACTATTAATGAACCAAGCCGCCGGTTTCGGTGAGCTTGGAAAACTTCTTCTAAACTGGAGCATATTTGAACAAACAATGACCTATGTCGTTCACAATAATGTTATGTTCTAATCCATAGAAGAGAGACAAACAATTCGGGAAAAAGCTGCGCATGCCCTAGAAAAAGGGATGATAAGGGTGAGACGCGGTAACCGCGTCTCAATGTCCAACGAGGTGCGCAAAGTGAGACGCGTTACCGCGTCTCAATGTCGTCAATGTGTTAACACGTTGACGACATCGCGTGTTTTGGCATTTTGCACCGCGTGGGACAGGAGCGATTTTGCGAGCGCGCCGTCCTCACCTTACTTCCGCTTATTTTTTGTTTAAAATGCACAACAACTTGAATCTCATAGAATTATTTCGGCAAGGATGAAAGCATAAAGGTTAACTATATAAATGGCAGTAGATTTTTGTTTAGAAGAACGCATAATGACCAAACAAAACTGCAAAAAAAACATCACTTTCGCTGCAAGTAAAGCTAGGCATTTATATCTAACAAGGGAATGCTGTCTATCCTATCTGAAGATGTCGCTGCCAACAATTTAGAAGTGGTGATTCTGGTGTCCTGGCAAAAAACATTTCGGCCAGCCGCAAAATTCCACGCTAATAATTTGCTAGCATTATAACGCTTATTGGTGAACGATAAATTGGAATGAATGAAGTGAATTAGGAGTTGATAAGTTGCTGTTCTGAAACGCTCATGCAGCATGCAACATGCAAAGGGAAAGATTCGATATGGAGAAAAATGGCTGTCACACGAATATTTGGAATCCCGGTTTGCTCGGAGTAGAGCCATATTTCGAAAAAAAAAACCTTGATGTAACTCTTCTGCCGCTTGAATCGGAATACTTTCCATCCCAATGTAGTAATCAATGGAGTCTTGTGATAACCACTTTATTAGATTGATGAGGCGCAATCTAGAATGCCTGTGCCATTCAGCAGTCTGCGTAGTCAACTAACAATGGAGGTCTTTCAGGACATGGAGCGTTTTTTCAAAATGGTTATCTACATAATGTAC